CTGACATGAAACCAAAAAAATATACAAATAAACGTAGATTCGCTAACTAGAAAAGTAAAAACTGTAATTTTATCGCTCCCAACATTTCTGAAATATACATTTTAATGATCATGGTGTTAATTTAAGGAAGATTTATTACGTAATGTTAACTAATTAAAGCAGGGATTAAAAAAAAGATGATAGTTATTCAGACTCCCTAAGGCTATACGGTAATATTTTCAGTATTGGCATTATACTCAGTGTTTTGATAAACTGTTATATTGAGCATGATAGTCGCTATCGGTAACTCTGTCGTAAAATTTATAATTTCAGTAAACAATCAACAACTTGTCATACCATTTTCTTATTACCAGTATAGTCATTATTATCAATATAGGTATAATTATCAGCATCATAATCCATATCATAATAATAATTATTATTATCATTGTCATTGTTTTTTGCTATTCTTAATATCACAATGATTATAATTATTCTTGTATTATTATCATTATTAGTATCATATACGTTAACATTATCATTATCATCATCATTTACATAATGATCATTTATCATTTATTATCTTTACTAATGTTATCATTGTCATTGTCATCATAGTTATTATAATAAGGATTATTACCTTTCTTCTTTTTTTATCTTTACTATTATCATCACCATCATTATTATCATTATTGTGTTGTAATTATTGTTATTATGAATACTATCAATATTATTGTCATTACTATTTTGACTATTATTATTATTGCTGTTGTTGTTGTTGTTTTGTTGTTGTTATCATCATCATTATTATTTAGTTGTAGTAGTAGTTGCATTATTAATTTTATGACCATTTTCATTATTGCCATTATCATTACTATTATCATTATTTTTATAATTCGATTTGTTAATGTTATCAAATAATAACATGAGCTATTATTATTATTAGTATATTATCATTAATATCATTATCATTATAATCATTATTACAATATATGACCATGAAAGTTATAATATTACTATTATTTCTATCATGACAATGCTGTTACTACTACAAGTACTAGTTATCATTATTATTATTACCATGTCATCCATCTTAAATTCATTATCATTATCAAATTATTATCATTTTCATTATCAAAAGTGTGGTTATTTCAATTACTTCATTATCATCGTTACCACCGTTATCATTATTATTATACAACATTAGTTGCGATATATGAAAAATAGGAAATTATATTCTATCTTTATAAAATTCACAATTCATTGAAAAAAAGAATAAGAGGGAATTTAACAGTGATTTATATTTTCTTATCACTAAATACACCTGTTGATATTTTCATTTTCGAGGTATTTAAACACCACCTATTGATAAAGCGATTTTATTTCATAAGAAAATATAATATAGAAAATAAATACATATTGATTATTACAAATCAACAATGTCTTTGAGCGTAATGATAAATCAAAACTTTACAATGCATGTCGGGCGTTTTTATTGTGGTGTTATTTTGAGTGCCTTTCTTATTTGCAATCTTAGGCGCAGTGATGGTGAGGACACCGTCGGAGGACATGGCTGAGGTGACAGCATTCATGTCCACTGCGCCAGGAAGAGTGAAGCGTCGACAGAAGCTCTTGCTTGACCTTAAGGTTCCGTCGTTCTTCTCCGCACGACCTTCCACCACCACCTCCTTGTTGTCCACCACCTTCACTTTGACGTCTTCGTTCATGAAGTCGTGAACGTCCAACACCACCTAATTAGGATATAAGCAACTATTAGTATTATTTAACGTAAGGCATACTGCGAAGATAGGTTAATTCTAATGTTTATTTAAGATGATATTACTTCACCAAGATGTCATATGCTCACCTTAAATCCGTGTTGATCTTCCGTGGTCTTCATCGCCTGAGTCTCATCCTTGAGCTCACGTTCCCGGAGACTTCGGTAGCAGGAGAGTTCGTCGTTGGCACTCCTCATGATGTCATGCCTGCTGAGGACTTCATTGACAGCCGTTTCGAAGTCCTTACGGACGTCTTCGAAGAAGGAATCAGAGAAAACTGACCTTCGAGGAGATGGGAAGCCACTGGTCGTCCACTGCGTCCTTGCTTGACTGTGTGCTTTCTAGAAGCGAGCTTCCCTTTCACAGATTCTCTATTGGCGCCTTCTTGGTTTTCTCACTTGTAATTTTGTTTGCGAGTGACGATGTCGCTTCAGTCCTTCTGGTAGATGCATTCTGATACTCGGAACGAAACTTTGTGTTCTGATTTGGATACCTTTGTGAGAGTTTGTTTTTCTTCTGTGTTTTGAGATGAAGTCTGGGAAACCTGAGATGTTGACGCTTCAGAAACCGCACTGGCCTTCGATCCCGATGTTGTCTGATTGAAGAAAATAGAAATTATTGAACTGTGTTTAAAGAACTATATCAAAAGTTGTTTGCAATCCATAATATAAAATGAGATGAGTGAAAATGCTTTGCAGACTTACCTTTGGTACAGTAACGGTGAGGATGCCGTCAGATGACAT